CGGCCATGGAAGCAGCGCAACTGCACGAGGATCATCTCGCGGCAGTGCGCAAGGCCGAGATCAAGCCGACGGTCGGAGAGGGTACGCGTACCACGAGCAACTACCGACGCCTAACGGAGGATGAGATACAAAGGCGAAGGGAAAAAGGCTTGTGTTTTACTTGCAACGAAAAATTTACACTAGGCCACAAGTGCAAGGGTAAGGAAATTTTTGTGTTGGAAATTGAGGAGGGACGAGAGGAAGAAAAACCGCAGGAAGAGTCTTGGTTGCACATGGTGAAGTGCAACAAACGTGGGCCTAGGATGATCAGATTCACGGCCGAGGTGAAAGAAATGTTGTTAGAGGTTCTGGTGGACAGTGGGTCAAGTTTAAATTTTATCGACGAAAGGATAGCCCAAAGGCTGAAACTAGAACCCACAAAGGTTAAGAAGTTTGGTGTCAAGGTGGCCAACGGACACGAGCTGCAAGGAAGTCAACTATTCAAGAAGGTCCCGATAATGGCACAGGATCATGAGCTGGAGATTGATCTTTATGCCTTACCACTTAAGGCAACAGATATTGTGCTCGGAGTACAATGGTTGGAAACGCTTGGACCAATTACGACTGACTACAAGCGAGGAAAGATGGAGTTTGGACGACCGGGTAAACGAATTAAGCTGAGAACCAAGGATCAAAGAGAATTTCCCGTTGAAGAAGATAGTGATGTGGATGTGCTGAACTTTTTCATCCTTGGGGACAAGGAATGTCTTGAAGAGGAGGGGAATGATGCGGAAGTGGTCGTCGAGGCCGAAGGATGGTCGAGGGTGACCGATGATCGTACGGGCGAAAGGTGCGCATCGGGCGGTGATGCGCGAGGACTAGTGGCCAGCACGCGGGTGTACGCGGGTACACGCGGGGGCGCGGTAGGCGAGCAGGTCACGGGCGAAGGGAGGTACGCGCGGGCAGCGAGCGGAGGGCGAGCTGGGCGCGCGGGTGATGGTCACGCGGTCGGCGTCCAAAACCGTGCAGGCATAGGAGTGCGGGGCAGCGGGGCGTACGCGCGCGGAATTATCGGGCGAGGTGGTGGGCGCGCGATGGCGCGCGAGTGGGCGACAGGCGCAAGCACAGGCCTATGCGCGGAAGGAATAGGAGGCGCTGGACGCATACACGCGCAGGGGCGGTCGCGAAAGAGAAGCGCGCAAGAAGGCGCGCGCGAGAAGCCTAGTCCGCGCGGGACTAGGCAAGGCAATGGCGGCGCGAGGGATGACGCGTGCGAGGCGCGCGCGCGCGAAGCCGCGCGCGACGAGGAATAGGCAACGCGAGAGGCGGTCGTGCGTGTGAGGCGGCCGAGTACTTGAGGCGCATGAGTTGGATTTGTTTGGAGTGCAAGCCAAGCAAAATCAAGATCTAGTCAATTTAGGACTTTAGATATTTAGTTTCCTACTTGCACAATAATATCTAGAATGTATAGGATATTTAATATTTAATTGCTTTAATTAGTTTCCTAGGTAGATTAGAATTAGTCATAGTGAGGATCTATAAATAGGGATCATCCCCCATTGTTTTTGGAGAGTCTTGGAATGGAATAGAAAAGAACGTTTGTTCAAACCGTGTGTTGAGAGTCGTGAGATTCGATCATACAAATCGAATTGGTGAGGCTAAGACCCGAACCAGTTC